CTGTTATATTCATTGATATTAAAATCAAATATATTCATATAATGATAAATAACCAACGGATTAAAAGAACAAATTTTACTACCTCCAATATATAATTAAATTAAATGCATTTATCAATATTTTACAAATGTGTTATTCTTTTATAATTTAATTAAAAACTAGCAATTAGTAACTTCTCCATAAGCTAACATATGTCTATTGTAAATTTTTAAATAATAAAATAACAATAAAATGGCCATTCATCAATACACATCTAACGAGAATTTAAAAATAATTGAAGAATATGCTTTAATAATCAAAATTTGACGTTAACTGAATACAGTTGGAAATATAAAATGATTAAAGTTTTTATAAATCAGACACATATTTCCATGATAACACCTTTTTCCAGGAAAAAAAACAATTTGCATTACACTGAATTGTTATCAAACAATACCAGCAGACAGTCATTTTATTTTCGTGCACACAAAAGACTCCTTTCATTCAGTAGCTATTTACATGGAGAATGGTACATGAAGAATTAAAAATAACGTATATTTTTTCCACTGTATTTTTTCATCTCTCATTGGTGTGCTTGTGATGCAAATATTGATATAAATATTAGCATCTGGTTTAATAATCAATTATATACTAAATTAAAGTTTACATATTAAAGACATGTACACAATGACGCGATAACAACGGCAATATTGTCGAGAATTAGGCGGCAGCTTAAGAATTCACTGAAATTTGCGTGACAATGTGTTGCTCCTCATTATCAGAATTGGGCGATGTCGAGAATGTCAGTCAGCAATTGAACTGGCGCGAGGTGGTGGCACGTGAAGTATGGTCTCGATGTCGACTACTTAAGTGACGTCATCAAAGTTGACAATATCTACCTAATAATCAGGTACAAAATGTATAGCTGTGGTTAGACGGAGATATCTTCGACTGCTCCATGAAGAACTTGCTCCGGAGGAAGCAAAAGCGAAAACACTCTTCGGAAAAAAGGGAGAAGTAAAGGAACCAAGAAACAACCTGGCGTATCTCCACCAAAGGGCAAGAGAGGGACCAAAAACCTCTCACATCTGCTCCGGCAAGGAGAGAAAATAACCAGGATGAAAAGCCGCTATGCACCAGCTATTACTGGATAGGTGGAAATTGGGGTGCTGCCAAAGGATTACCCAGGTTGTGATCACCGATCAGCAAACGACTCTAGAAAAGACGATACTGGACGAAGTCATAGCGAGCGGATTGCAACGCAATGGTCCACAACATGTGGGCCAGCTGCGTTTTGCGGGAATACACTTTCGGGTGGGCATGATCTGCCAGATAATCTCAAGGAACGGCGGATTGGTTGACGACGAGCAAGGGAAAAGATACCACCTACGTGCTGAGCCTTGTCCAGGCTCAGAAGTAAAATGCAAGGACATCAAGTTGGCGAGTAATCAACTCGGGGGAAGAGGGTCACGGTGAGATTCTCACAATAGGAATTGATCTTCAATCCAAGGAGGCAATAAAAAAAGGGATATCCTCTATTATATAGATTGGGGACAACACCGGTATCAGGTATAAAAAGAGACGAAGTTAAAGAGGTGAAAATAAGAAAGATATTGGAAGAAAACTTCAAAAAATTGCACCAATTTGCACAAGACCACCCATCCAAACATATGCTTAAAAACATAAGAGAACTTAATGCTAAAATAGGTAATATATTGAACATGAACAAGAATTTTATGGTATTTGTTCCGCTGTAGCAACAAAAAACAAGAACGCCGAACCAAAACTAAAACGTTATATGATTAAAACAACTTAATACCACTAAATACTTAGAATAAGCATTCTTAGCTAAGCATAAGATATAATAAACTAATCTTCTACTTTGCTGAGTGACTTAAATACTGAATCAGAATCAGAAATATCACAATCACGATTCCCCCCTTCATTATTCTCACTTTGGTGGATAAAATATAAGAGGACAAACATTTATGAATGTCTAAATGACAATCGAAAATGTGTGTTACCTGAAATTACTCTAAATACTTTTGTCTAAGAGATTAAGAGATATTCCCGATAGGTTTTAAAATTTTATATGTATAAACGTTATAACAAAATTACCAGCAACAAAGCCTTTAAAGCATTCTCTTTTCCACCCATTTGCGCAGTTGGCCTTAAGATAAAATATAAATTTAATGTATGCAGGACAACTCGATGAATAGCCATCTAGATTTAAAAAAGAAAAAAAAAGGGGAAAATATATATTCGGTTGATTTATTTTTATGGGACCTCTTCTCTATTTCTTATGTCGGTAAATCATTTAGACCGCTTTCTTACGGAAAAAAGCGAATATAAGCACCACGCTAGACAGTGTAAAATGAAAAATTAAGTAATAGCAAATCATTATAATGATGCTCTCAGATTTTTCAAGACAAACCAGTTGCGGTATATATTTCATCAATAAGGAGTTAAGCTTCATTCAGAGCCTCGAAATTAGTAGATTAAATTAGTGGTTTCAATTACTCTTTATACTTTTTTGTTTATGATCATTCACAATGTCTAAAAAATACAATTAAATTTAGCAGAATATCCTAGCAACACAGCTTGCGGTAGTCAATTGTATCCAGAGAAAGCGTAATATTTAACTTAAAACCAACTTTTGATTTCTAACCACAATTTCTCTCTCAAATCAAAAGCCAAAATGACATTTCTCGCAAATTTCGAAGTATAATTAGTGGAAAAGTAAAAAGTTTGTCAACTTTTTCTACTAATTGAAAATGACTACCACTAATTTTAACATTCAGAATGCTTAAGCTTCATTCAGAACCTCCCAATTAGTGGTTTCAATTACACTTTATTATTTTAGTTTACGATCATTCACAATGTCTAAAAAACACAATTAAAATTAATAAAATATTCTAGCAACAGCTTGCGGTAGTCTGTTGTATCCATAGAGAAAGCATAATATTTAGCTTATAAAATAATAAACTTTTGATTTCTAACCAAAATTTTTCTTGACGGGTGATAATCAAAGGCCAAAATGACATTCCTCGCAAATTTTGAATTATAATTAGTGGAAAAGTCAAAAGGTTGTTAAACTTTTTCCACTAATTAAAAATTACTGCCACTAAATATCATGTTCTGAATGCTTACATTAAAATTAAGCGAACAAACTTCTATGGCTAATTGGAACTACTAATTTATTCCATTGATTTCGAGGTTCCGAATAAAGCTTTAAGCTTAAATATAATTTTTAAATAAGTGCCAATATTTTAGGGGTAGTATATTTCGACTCCAATAAGTTCTTTTTTCGCGAAAAAAAAAACATTTTAAATTTATTATTTATAATTTCTTGATAATATGGCAACATAGGTGATAGATTAAATTTACAAGAAAGAAAGCTCAGAAAAGACCCAAAGGTTCTCAAAATTTACTCAAGAAACATATTTTTTGGAAATTTTGTAAAAGTAAAAGTAAAATAACACGGTTATTTTGGACTTTGAAAAACGGTAAAGAGAAAATATATTTCTTTTATTGATATCTACTAGAACTGAAAATATTTGCTCATCCTGTATAATAGTGATGGCAAACCAATAACCCGTGGGTCAGACACGAACCCACGTAAGATTTTTAACTAATCCACAGTTGCTAGGCAACCAATTGTTTGCGCGGGTTTATTTACATTTTCTAATTTGTGTGGATAATTTATATTTTATTTGTACTTTTCAAGCACTTCATTGACACAAAGCAATTTAAATGCTGTCTATAAGCTTAAGTTTAATCATTACAATTCTAAAGTTACCCAATGTATTTGTAGTATTAAAAATAAATGCAAAGCGTTTACAAAGTCTATATACAGGATGTCTCAAATAAGTGCAAATATTTTTAGAGGTAGTATATATCGACCCTAGAAACCTGCCTACGAGTTTTTTCGCGAAAAAAAAATTGAAAATATGGATTTTTTTATTTTTTTTTAATTTTTACTTAAGAAACATAATATCTTTATAATATGACATTATAGATAGTAGATTAAATTTACTAGAAAGAAAATCCAAAAAATATCCAGCGGTTCTCAAAATTTAAACGAAAAATATATATTTTTTTTAATTTTCAATGTAAAATATCTGGGTTATTTTGGACTTATTTCAAAAATAATAAAGAGAAAATATATTTTTCTTATCGAAATCTACCATCACCAAAAATATGTGCATTTATTTAAGACTCACCCTTTATACCGGGTGTAAAGAAAATAGTGTATCTAACTAAAAATGTCCATATCGTATAGGTGCCACTAATAAAAAAAATATATAGAACAATAACCTCAAAGTCAAAAGTTGTGTCAAATGAGATCAATAAAAAAACCGAGATATTTTAAATTAATTACATCAAACACACAATTTATTTTTTTAAAACAATTATTTCCGACACGTCTTCTTTTATTTGGAATTTGAAAAAGAAAACAAAAAGGAATTTTAGATTCGGAAACTTAGTATTAGAGTGAAACTAATAGTCGAAATATTAGAATCGATCTGTGGTTTTGATTTCTTGCTGGTTAATTATGTCAGTGTAAGTTATAAGTTCAAAAAGTTTAAAAACGAACAATATGTGAATGTATATGAATGTTTGATATAATGGCTTTTGATTCTATTTATCCTGTTAATATTTGTGATTTGTAAGTTATATTGTATTAAATATATGGTACATTACCTATAAATAATGTGATATGCTAAAATAAATATTGAAATAATTAATAATATTATTAATTTATTCTAAGGCCTATTATTTATATATGAATAATAATGGTTAGCTGTATTTTAACCATCAACTTAAAACTGTGAAATACAAAAACGGTTTTAATTTGTTTTGTATTTGTTTGTGGATATATATAATTTTTATGTATATTAACATATTTCCTTTTATCTTCACATAAACAAATCTGATGATGCTGAATTTACCTTTTTTCATTTTATATTCTCCTAAACAAGTCACGTATTTCTGTTTTCAATAAATCTATTTTTTTACAGGTATTTGAACCGCGCCGTTCAACTTTTGCCGATAAATGACGCTCAAGGGTACAACTCACCTTCATCGCAACGTTGACTTGGCGACAGAGCAGACTAATGCTGTAAAGTTGTATAAGTGATAGGTTGGGTAAAGTGCTTTAAGAAATCAAAAGACGTTTTACTAAGTTTTATCACAACTTGTTAGGATATGATTAAATTTTCTTTTTTTCTGTAATATTTAAAAAAATAATATATTTTATGAAGTTATAATAAAATTTCTTAGCAATAAACAATAGCTTATTAAAAACGAGTCTAATTACTCTTTATATAAATTTATATCTATATCAATAGATAGTTACACAAATACTAATATTTTTTAAAAGAGTTTCTAATCTGAATTTAAACATTTTCCAGTGTGTAAATTTAATGCCCTAATCTATCACATCTAAAAATCGGCAAAAATAAAAAAAGAATAAAACAGCATTAACTGCACCCGAAACCAGTCTCAAAAAGAACTCCAACATGCAACGAATAGCTCTCAGAAAAGGGCAGTCGCTGGCAGTTATATAATACGATACGTTGGGTTTTGTCCGCAAGATTTATAGAACTGTCGGGTGAAAGCAACAGCGACTCAACGACACAATGGCGGACCACGATCCATTTGATGATGAGGTAAGCAAAATAGCAATATGTGTAGTTTAGTACAAAGGGGTTGTGATAAACGATAAAATATTTAGGTTGGTTGCAATCGTTCCAGGAAATAATCCTATTGTATTTTAAACCTTTAGTAAGTAAAAATGACTATCTGATTGTAATTGACACAAAAAAAAAATTTCGTTTTATGTAAAGGTGTTTACTGCATATTTTTCTTAGTCTTACCGTGGCATCCTCTATACACGATGTAAGTGAACTAACGTATGATGCCTGACTACAGATTCAAAAAAAAAAACAAATGCAGATTTAATATCACTCGTACGCAACTAGTGCTGCAACAAGTCAGTTTCAAAAATACTTTAATTTTAAGTCTTAAAAAATTTCTAAAATCAAAATTATTTAAATCTTAAGTCAATTTCAGCATAAAGTTTAGATGATTTAAATCCGAGGAGTTTCCCACTTGGGTAAAAATGTACAGGGTGTCCCACTAAGAATAGCTCTCGGCTGCATCTCGGAAAGTATTAGCCGTAGGGGCTGCGGAAAAAAATATTTATAACTAAAAAGGCTATGGGAAATTGCTGAAAATATTTATATTTTCAAGTTTGTAGAACGACCGCTAGGGGGCGCAACTGCAACAAAAAGTAAGAAAATGGAGTTTTTACACAATTCTGCCTAGATACAGTGTACTATAAGTAATAGCTTCATAATCTTCAGTAAATTTTGAATATTTGTTGTTAGAGCCATTTTCCCCTATCTACCAAAATAAAGTGGTGGGGGAAGGTTAGATCTGTTTTTATTTAAATATTAATAACTCTGGACTGGATGATCGGAATCAAACAAGCGAGGGCTCGTTTAAAACAGCGTTTCTTACTCTATATTGTATCATAAACAATAGTAATAAGCTTTTCAACGTAGACGCGAGGGGGCGTTGTCTTACAATTTAACAAACATTGCGCGTTTTTTCAAAAAAATTAAATGCAATAGTATATGTAATTTTAGCTGATAGTAAAAAGTAGTAAAAGCTTAAAAAGTCAGCGAAAACCGCATCTTGATATCTTCTTTCAAACCGAAGATATTAGCAAAATTATAATAAATACATGTCTATTAAAAAGTGGTGATATGTTTTGATTACGATGTAAGATTATGTCGATGCTATAAGTTAAGGGTTGGAGGATTTTAAAGTACTCTTCATTATATTTGAGATCAATTTATTTCGCTCGTCTTTCGGGCTACATAACGGAGCCGGGGATTCCCCTGAAATCGGAGACTCACTACGCACGCGTAACACAAAAAACTAACTTTTTATTTGTAAGTGATATAGAGTATTGTTTTATCTGCTGTGCCTGGTGACCGCCTAACAGATTTAAAAGAAATGCTGCTGAAATATATCATAAAAATATATAAAAATCTGACTTTTATAAAAAGACTTAATTTTTTTTTAATGGTTTAGGTCTTCTCTAAAAAGACTATTCTTTTTTTTATTTTGGAATAAGGATTTAAATCACAACTAATTTTAAAAAAGACTTAAATTTAAAATCTTATGTTATCTTTTGAAAAAAAAAATCAAATGACTTAGGTAAGCCATTAAAATAATTTAAATCAAAAAAAGCCTTAAGTTTTCTGTAAGCTTGCAGCTCTGTACGCCTCTGATTAAAGGATAATCAATAATCTAGCGAATTTATTCTTATCATTAGTTCCCATCTGTCAAAGTACAAAGAGATTAGATATTTTGAATAGTACTACAAAGAAAATTCTATTTTTTCAGCATTATATAATTTAATTGCAGTCTAAAATATAAATCTAAATTATAACATTAGATAGACTATATAGGGAGAAATAAAGAAGTTTATACGATTATATCACTGAGAAAATTAGAGCACAAATATTACACCAATGAAAAAAATAGGTAGCTGTTTTCCGTTTTTTATATTAAAATTAAATTTGTTATTCCAATATTAACTAACATTCTAAAGTTATTTTTATTTAGATTTCTTAATATACATTGTTCATTACACTGTTGTTAAAACATTTATTTCTAACTTAGATAATTTAAAATTATGTCCTGGTTATAAATAAATATTTCAGTCTATTGTTTAACTTTTTTGTGATTCCATATTCTAACAAGATTTCAATGGAAAAATATGTTTAACTGAAAGTTGCTAGTTAAACAAAGCATCGTATGGTCGAAAAAACGGTGTCCCGTTGGCTTGGAAATGACGATCGATGAAACTTCCCAAATAATTTTACATATAAATGATAGCGATCTTCACAGCCATCGCTGGTGCCCGTTTTCTTGTTCGGTCATATTGTTTGATATATTGACAATAACAATAATAATAATAATTTAACTACGCATCTACGTTAAAAACCGGGAAATTTCCGGATTTAAAAAATAAGAAAATAATTATAATAAATATCTTTATTATAAAAAAAATTTAATACAATAATTAAATATCGTGGTACAAAGGAAAAAATAGAAGTAAAGTATAATACGTTAGTTAATTACAACTCCTATAGGCGAAGTTCAGCTTGAGAAAAACAAGTTACTCAACATAACCCTAGGAACATTATATTACAATACCATACTTATGTATAATAAAAAGAAATATACTAGATCAATAAATTAACAATCAAAATAAAATAAAAAATATATATTTAATATAATTTATATTTTAAACTATCAGTTTTATTGCAATGGAAAATATTTTTGTACCTACTTCAGAAGTTGCTAGTCGAACAAAGTATATACTATGATGAGATGTAGCAAGTCTTTGAATTTATGTTTGTGGAATGGCAAAGGGTCGTAAAAACAAGGGCTGTTAAAATAACAACCGAATGTTTTATGATGTGCACATAACAATAAAAATAAAAGGCAACACCTACACCAAATGTTTGTTAGTGCATTTTTATAGAATTAAAGTGAAATTATATTTTATTGAATTATTATTATATCAGGACGACATTAATAGCTTCAGTTTAAGTTAACACAGCATCTAATAGAAATAGTTTAATATAAATATCTAGAAAAAAAATTCCTTCTACAGAACTACCAAGCAATTGCTAGTAGGAATGGGATTTCTTCCCGATATATTGATAACTATCGATAGATATCGATATATCGAATAATAGGGTGCAAAAAATGCCGATATATCTGCACCTATCGATATATCTTAAATTGTCTTGATATCTCGATATAACATCACATATCGATGTATTGATAGAATTTCTATAAATATCGTTTATGGATAACTATCAATAGATATTGAAATCTTATTTTTAATTTATTAAATTTATTTTTTAGGTATACTTTTATTTACCTTTTTTAAAACTTGAACATTATTTGAACATTTCAAAATTGTTATATAAAATAATATTTTTATTCAAAGAAAATAAGGTATATTATATTTTCAGTTTTCCTTGAAATTTTATAACAGCACGTTTTATATTAAATACTAAGTATATTTTCCCATATCTCAGCAACTATCGCAGGTTATCGATATATCGAACAATCATGGTAGCTTCAAAATTATCGATACATACAATATATCGATACGTATCCTAATCTATAATAAATATTTATCGATAAACCCGCAATTATCGGTAATTCGATAAGTATCGATACATAGAAATATCGATAACTAAAATATATCCATAGGTGAATCGCGACACCTTATTAATAAAACTAAAATTAATTATTGCCCATCTCTAATAGCTAGTTTAACCTTTAAAAACACTAATAAATTCTAAAATCTTACCCAGTTCATAAAGAATAGAAAATATAATATATAAGGTGAATCTTAAATAAGTGCAAATAGTTCCAGGGCATATCTTGATAAAAGACATATTTTCTCTTTACAGTTTTTCAAATAAGTTTAAAATAACCGAGATATTTTACTTATAATTTAAAAAAATGATTTTTCACTCAAATTTTGAAAATCACTGGATCCTCTGTTTTTTTTTCTTGTAAATTTAATCTACTACCTATGTTAGAAAATGGCTTTTTTTAATTTTGGTTAAAAAACATAAACATATTATATACGTTTTTTAACTAAAAATTAAAACAAATTCCAAAATTTTCTATTATTTTTTCGCTAAAAAACTGATATACGTGTTTCTGTGGTCAAAATATACCACCTCCGAAAATATTTGCCCTTATTTAAGACTCACTCTGCATAATATAATTATCTTTAATTCTACGGCGCGGCGCGGCGGCGGGCGGCGCACAATGCTCCAAGCCGTGAACAAAAATAAAATAAATCATATTTTTAATATCGTTTTAAAGTAACATTTTTATTGAGTACACTTGATGTTTACAGAAATATCCAGTTTTCTTATCTGCTTCGCCCAAGAAAATTATGAGAGTTGTTCAGTTATATATGTTTGTTAGTCTAAAATCTAGCTTCATTTTAAGGGTAAACAATGAGTTTTTATACAAACTGCTTACTAGTTTCACCTACCCTAATTTTGGCGTTTTTTTAATAATTGTAAGCTCACACATCATTAAAAATATTAGTTTAGTGGAGGAGTGGTTCCGTTACGAGGAAAATGAAAAAGTACCGAAACTTATTGAAAAAATTAGGTTGTTACTAAGTTGCGATGTCTTTTCCAATGCTCAATATCAGAGTTTAGAAAAAAAGTGCAGTATTTTTCTATGACCGTGAAAAGTAAACTAAAAACTTGTCATTATAATAAAACATATTTTATGAACAAATACCACTCTTGGCTTAATTGCAAATTCATACTAGCAGGCAACATATTTAATGTCCGAGAAGATGCCGATCTCCATCAGCCAGGAACTAGTCGTGGAAGGCCCCTTGAGCCATTTAGTGAAGCATTCTATAAAACTAAGAAACGGCGAGTTACATATCTCCTAAGTTCTACCCCAGCAGAAGAGTTAAGTTTTGCCGCGAGCATAAGTCCAGCATCTAGTAGTTTAACCTGAGGTTTACACCAACCAGGATACTGTTTATCTCCAGAAAAAAATTGTAGCCATGGCCTTAGATTTAGATCTTTCCGAG